TCCTTTTTTTTTTTTTTTTTTTTACTTTTGGCACTTACTGTAGCTCAAGAGTTTTCAGTTTCCTACATAACCTCAGCTCGCGAGGACTGTCCACTACTCCAAATTAGCAAGTAAAAATGCTAAGAAGTCATAACTCCATTCATTACAGCAAATGCTGTGACCTTTTAAAATAAGTACCTTACCTAGAAACTGAGCATTCTTAGTATTTTCAGAGTTCTTAGCAAATTATTTAATGTTATTTAAAGAAATGGTTTACATGACACCATTTCATGCCAATTCTGTTTCAGTGACTATAATCTCAGTGCTTTTATTTAAAAGAATCTATTCATAAGATTTCGACTTGACTTCTATTAACAGGAGGCATTCAGATGTAGTTTATCTAGAATAGATTCCAGCTACATTACTGATAATGATATTTTAATGATAATTTTATGAGGCATTCACTTACTTGTATACTTCTATCCAGATGACCATAATGAGCAGGACATAGATAAGCAAATGTTTTAGATGGGCTCTAAATTACGGAATAGTGCAGGTCCTACTAGAAAGAAACATTGTCTTTTTTGTTTTGCTTGGCATGAGCCTAGGAAGACGCAAACCTACCTATTGCTGTTAGCGACAATGCTACCAGCAAATGCAGACCAATACTAAAAGATCTGAATTCTCATCTCAGTTTGAGCACCTGTATTGATCCCTACCTGAGGTTACCTACACCTGACCTTGCATATAAGTAAGCCCAAAATTACATTTTATGTTCAAATCTACAAATTAGGCTGAATATCACTTGCAGAGAAAGGAGATCTAACTGATGCATTCTCACAAAAGGAAGAAGGTAGGAAGGAAGTGGTACACAGGACAAGTAAAAACCACTCTATATTTATTCATTATAGAACACATTTTTCTTCCCAGAAAGAAAACAAACAGTCTGAGGTATCCCACGTTCATAAATCCCATTCTAGGGCTTTACATCCTGAATTTCTCTGTTATTAATCAAGGTTTAGTATCATTATACACAGTGATTAAAATTTTTCCCTGAGATCATCAAGGCTGTGCCTTTGACTATAGAAATACCTTACCCTACCAAAATTCAGGAGAAACCATAGAAAACTAAAAGTCTTTTCGGTGGTAGAAAAGGCAGATAACTTAGGCAGAATTCCTGAGAAAAAGATGCAGAGTCTTTAAGCCACCAGTTAAATTTTACCTGGCTGTGAACTGTTATCCCTTCTACATTTCTAAATACTCTGGAAGGAAAATTCATCTTATTGCATAGAAAGACACTTTTTCACAAGGCTATGCACAAAGCATCTTTGCTTTTGCTAGCTGCCACAGCCATCTTGATGCCTCAGTTTCCAGTAAAATCCAAAGCTTGAGAGGTACAGGCAGCCTTTCCCCAGTGACATATGGAAAAGAGAAAAAAAACAGACATGGATGATGACGAAAAATGTGGTTGTCATATTATGTGTCCCCCTCAGACCTGTGATACTTCTCCAAATGGTCTGGCATCATAATAGCTACTGATCCTCCACAAGTAGGAATGAGGAACGACTTACTGGATTATCACCTCAAATCCCAGCCTAATCAGCTCCACAGGGCATAAGGCAAATGGCCACTGGCACATGTTGTCCAGTTTGGGTGCACCGAAAGTCAGCTCTGAATGGAATGCCACTTCCAGCAGCCCCTCCCAAGTTGGAACAAATCACAAGCTGCAAAAGAGCCAGCCTGCCCAAATAGTCATTATTAAATTGTGTTGTGTCCCTCTGTCCAGCCATCCCCATAAAATTGCACAATGGAATGATTGTATTCCCTACTGAAGACTTCCCCTCCTAATAGTAAGCAAGCAAAGGTTTCCCTAGTCTGCCCCATATTGAATTGCAGAAGAAGGCAGCCCACCCCAAGATGCGGGGAGTGAGAAAGGAAGCAGGCGAGTGAGCTGGATGTCAGGCGAACATGCTTAGAAGGGACGTGGTAGAGTGTGTAGGCCTCCGAAGATGGAAACAGCAGGGGATGGCTGAGCAGCGGTGGGTGGTGGCACTTCCAGAGACATCATCCCATGGATGCAATGTTCCCAATTCTCTTTCTTAGGTGTTCTTGAGGTAGTTCTGACAGGCTCTTGCCATGTCTTTCAAGAAGTTAGGAACTCCATTCTGCAAAGGAAATGAGACTGTCATTTCTGTGTCTTCACAGTGGTTACTCTTGATTCTTTGGGATGTGGCAGAAGGTAAACAATGTTGGCTTTAGGGCTAACAAAAATGAATAGGCTCCGTAACTGGATTTCAACAGAATGTTGTTGCAGATGATGACAAAAAGTAGGACCCAGGACAAAAGGAACACCCGTCAACAGGAACTTCTGTTGCAAAAAGGCCTTATATGTTAGCTTTCTCTAGGAAAAAGCAAAGATGTTTCTGAAACAGTGTTTCTTGAAAAAAGAAAACACAAGAAATGGGGTTGGGCTGGACTGTTACATTCTTCCAAAGAAATGAGAGGAAGGACTTGCCTTACTGAATTAGGAAATGGTAAGGATTGGGGATCAAGGAGTAGGATATATGATTATTTAGTTCATGTTGAGCATTGGGCAAGACTTCTCCTGAATATTGTCTTATTTACTCCCCTTCTATGCAGTAGAAGACATCTATCTTCTTTTGTAAAAAGGAAGAAATGCATGGCTTCCTTAAATACAACAAGACAGTCAGTAGCAGAGCCAAGATTCAAAATTGCATCTGTTTGACTCCAAAGTTGATGTGCTTTTTCACTCTTCCAAGGAATCTGTTGACCTCTCAAGTAGTAGATCTCATGCAAAGCAGGCTGATGGTCCCCATAATGCCAGGCTCCTGGGCGGTCTCTAGTGATACAAACTACCACTGCAGTTCCCTCCCTTATAGAAAAACAAACAAACAAAAAAAGGCAAAAACAACAAAAGTGGAAGCTTCCCTCAGGCTTGGACACATCTGGTTGTCTCCAAGCCAGGTCAGTCTGTCTTATTCCCCAATAAGCTGAGGAATATAGGCTCCAAAGGCACTATTGCTCCTACCAGGAGCAGACTATTGTCCAGAGGTTCCAGAGAGTGATGCTGGCGGGGTCTTGGGGCACAAGCAGGGAGAAGCTGGCATTCCAAGCTGACAATTCTTTGTCTTTTGTCCCAGCCTCCGTCTTGGATGTTGGCAACCCCCAGCCCTAACCAGAGTCACTCAACCAAACTCTTCATAAAGAGCCTCATTACGCCTGAGACAATGTGTCTCTTCAGCCTGACAGCCCCAAGGGCTAAGTCAACATTTGTCAAACACACTCCCCCATCCCTCCCGCCTGCCCCGCCTCCTGGGATCTCACCTTGGCAGCCCAGTTAATGAGCCAGGACGGAATTTGGCCACCCGGGTTATCGAAGTAATACATGAAAACTAGAGAGGGAAAGAAAGGACAATTCAGAAAAAGCAAAAATACCAGAAAAAATACAGCAACAAAACTGTGCAAACTTTATATCTTCATATTCAAGCTCAGAAACTGCAGAGGGAGGTGGCATATATTTCAGATGGACTTCTCTCCACTGACTTCGCTTACGCATACTTAAATATAGGCACTTTTGAAAACACAGCCACAGACACATTTTGCTGCTATTTATTAAATACCTGGCAAGTGCTGGACACTTGAATATAGCCTCTCATTCAATTATTCTAGCAATCCTAAGGAGATGGTCAAATTAATCCCATTTTACAAATGATGAAACAGATACTCATGAAAATTAGGTGACATATTCAAGGTGACCATCTAGCTATGATTCAGATTTTTGCCTAGGACGCAAGGCCACACTCATTCTGGTAGAGCTGGTGGCCTCGCGCCCCACTCTCTGTCTGCAGCTTTCCTCCCTGGGGGCTGGAACTCAAGCTGGGCAGGTCTTGAGTCTCTGAGTTTGTACTGAGCTGGAGCTGAGATCTCCAAGACAAACCTGACAGCTTTCTTGCCTACCCTTAGGCCCAGTGTATGTATCTACAGGACCAGCTGGAAGTGAATTTCTAAACTCTCTGGCTTACTTATAATGGTCTGGTTTCATCCGGACAATCCATGAGTCTGGAGAAAATAGACTGGGTCAGAGTTAAACATCAACTTCATACTCTACTCAAGTTTGTTGGGGTGGAATGAGGCTCTCTCTAGGTGCCGATCCTGGTCTGCTCTGCACCTGTGCCTGTCCTCTGACCTTCAAGAATATGCTTCATGTACTCGACATGCCCCTCCATCAGCCTGGCCCTCCAGTGGGGACCCCTGGCTGGGTGCACTGACAGGCACCATGGGTTTTACCTTTGCTCCCCTTCTTGCCGTCACTCTCGATCGCCAGGCTCTGCTTGTATTGCTTCACCCGGATCACCCCAGACCTCTCGACAAGCTGAGGCACGGAGGTGCTCTGGGCCAGGACCACGTGGATCTTCCGCCCTTCCACGTCCAGGTCTCGCCGCTGCCGGAGGTAGACATACTGCATGGCCAGTCAAGGCAAGACACCAATGCCAGCATTGTAGACAGACAGAAGGAAAGTGCCACAAGCTGGAAGCAAAGGGAGGTAATTCTGTGCCTCCCACTTGGCATTTGCTCCCTTCTACTGCTAGTTCACTTACCTGCCCTGTCTCCCTACCTGCACTGCAAGACTATGCCTCACACCACCTAGCGTTCTCACCTAAGAGCATGCATTACTTACCTGTGAGTGGTTTTAATTATGTGAGGAAACCACTTTTCTCCAAGAAGGCACTAGGAGATGACAGAGGAATGGTCACTTAGCAGCTGTGTGGTCCTAGGTAAGCTACTCAGCCTTGCTGAGACTCAGATTCCCTATGTAGGAAAGGGAGTAACACTGCCTTCCAGACAGGCTTGGTGAGGCCATTAGAGAAAGACCTGGGCAGAATAAGCACTCGACAGAAAATGGTGTCATTCCTTTTTGTTCTGGCCCCACCCAATGCTCTAATTACTGACCTCTATGCATAGTAAATGATCAAGCAATGTTACAACTGATGACCACAGGAAGACATGGGACCACCTGAATATTTCATAGGCAGATGCCCTCTCTGGGCTAACACTAGTTCACCAAGAATAACAAAGCCATTTCATGTCCATCAGCCTTGACAGAAGAACCCTTAAGTTTACGGCACTATTCTAGGGAGGATAATGAAAGTCTATGACGCCACAGGAATCACTACTTATCGAGCCCTTATCATGTAACATCATGCACTTGAAATAAAGCTTAAATTTCGATCCGTACAAAGACCCTGTGAGTTTGTATGAGTATCCCCACACTACAGATGACAAAAGTGAGGCTCGGAGAGGAAAAGAACCTTGCCAAAAATCCCACATTCCAGCCGAAGTGATGAAACCTGAATTTTTATCCCAGATCTGGCTCCAAAACCTACTTAGAATTTCATAGCTGGATGAGGCTCAGATATTTAGTTTGTTAGTTACACTTTCATACAACAGAATTTTGGGTTTCATACTCAAAGGAATCAAAAACCTAAAAGAATCAAAAAGTCACTACGCACAACACAATGACACTTACTATAACACAGCAGCCGTTTCAGCCCCCAGCCACCTCAGTGTCTTTTTTTTTTTTTGAGATAGAGTCTCACCCAGACCGGAGTGGGGTGTCGCAATCTTGGTTCACTGCAACCTCCACCTCCTGGGTTCAAGTGATCCTCCCACCTCAGCCTCCGGAATAGCTGGGATTGCAGGCGCCCACCACATCCAGCTAATTTTTTTTTTGTATTTTTAATAGAGACGGGGTTTCTCCATGTTGGCCAGGCTGATCTCGAACTCTGACATCAAGTGATCTGCCCACTTTGGACTCCCAAAGTGTTGGGATTACAGGCGTGAGTCACCGCGTTCAGCCCCACCTCGTGTCTTGACAGCGCCCCCTGTTGCCCCACCCTCACACTGGACAGTCTCTCTCTCCATGCTCTTATGTACTGGTGAGTGAAGTTCTTAAATGTTTCAGGAAAGAGAAGATGTTGATTTGTCTCTGGGTTCCTTTCTCCTACAGCTTTTAGTTTTTCCTTTTAGCAAATATTGTTCCACTCTCTCCCCCAACTTTCTCAGCTCATGTGATAGATATCATCTGATACTCCACCGAGGAAGAATTACCTTGATATAGTGATTCAAATTTGGCAGAACACCTTTGAAGGGTTGGCAGTTTATCTAATTCAGCGGCTTCCAAACTTTTTTTTGACTCCACGGGACCCTTTGCTAAAAGGATCTTATATGGAAATTGAATCTGTAAAACACCTCGCTGCTGGGATTGAAGAGGATGGTGAAGGAGACAAAATCTTACCTAGGAGTCATCCTACCTCCATCCTACCCACCTCCAAAATTCCATCCTAGCCCCCCAGCTTAGTCCTAAGGGGGCTTCTGAAAACCTTACAGTGCCAGCCAAGCCTCCCTACATTTCATCCAACTGCTTCATTTCATAAACAAGGACATTGAGAGGAAGACGCTTACAGTCAGTGTCTAGAGCCAGCAATCAAGGAGGGATTGCTGTGGGGTCTACTGAGATGGGGGAGGCGGAGAGAGCTGGAAATGCAGGGGCCTGAGTTCCAGCACCCACTCTGCCACTAACCACCTATGTGCCCCTGGGAGCCCTTTTTTTCCCTGTAGACTGAGGGAGCTGTATCAAGCACTCTTTCTAAAAAGTTCCTTCCAGGTCCCCAATTTTGTTGCCTGACAATTTCAAGGCCTAGGAAACTTCTTAGGAAAGTAAGAGCTGCTCTCCAGTGACCATAATTACAGACACTCCATGTGGTCGGGCCCAGAAATCACACTCTGAGCTCTCCAAACACCACACAAGAAGCAACATCTTTAGCAGATGCTGCTGCAAGAATCAGAGACAATATTGTCTGTGCCTGCTGAGAAACCAGCTCTACCTCTCTGCAATAGACTGCAGCTGAGGAACACAGAAACACTTAGAAGGCCAGGGAATGAGTACCTTGTGGAAAGGATACGTCTCTGTTGGACATGGGAAAAGGGTACTTCACTTCCCAGTAGACCACAGTCTGTCCATTGCATTCTTGTTCATAGAGTTCTAAAGGAGAGCAAAAGAAGTTAATGCATCTGGAAGCCGTTTTAGCTACAACTAATAAGATGACCTCTTAGGCCAAGCACAGTGGCTCATGCCTGTAATCCCAGCACTTTTTGAGGCCAAGGTAAGTGGATTGCTTAAGTCCAGGAGTTCAAGACCAGCCTGGGCAATATGGTGAAACCCCATCTCTCTCTAAAACAAACAAAAAAAAAAGCAAAAAAATCAGCCAGGCATGGTGGTGCATGTCTGTAGTCCCAGCTACTCTAGAGGCTGAGGTAGGAGGATCATCCAAGCCTAGGAGGTCAAAGTTGCAGTGAGCCAAGCCATGATTGCACCACTGCACTCCAGCCTGGGTGACAGAATGACACCATGTCTCAAGAAAAAAAAAAAAAAAAAATAACCTCTTAGGGTATGATAAACCACTAACTCATAAGGTATAAAATTCTAGAAATAAGTCAAACCGATTAATTTGCACTGAAAACTTATTGCCTAAGAAGCCAACAAATCTTGTCCATTCTATAGCATAAATAATATTCTTGATATTTATTTTAATGCAATGAAATAAAATCAGACATCAAAAAAAATAGTCAGAGGTTTAAAATTCAGGATAACCACCAGATGTCACTAGAGTACCAATAGTTTTGCTTCTGAGCCCTTTAATTCCCCTTTAGGATTCCTTGACCCATTACAGCTAACCTGGAACTGAGTCACCCAGTCTAACACATTCATAGGTCGGAAATGAAGGTTCCAGAATGAGCAACGTCCTTCTTAAATAGTTAGAGATCAGCAGAACTGTGGCTTACCCCAAGTTTCTTTCTTCTCTCCCATGTTTCTTTGCACTATGCCACAGCTAGGGTGACCGAATTTCCCTAATAATCCTTTCATCTTACTATTATGTGCAAACAGCAGCCAACTCTTGGAGTGAGATAGCAAAGAAATTTAATGGCATGCACACCCTCTGTCCCCAGACTGTGCTGTGCAGTAAACTTCTTTCCACCTCCAGTTACAGAAGGAGCCCAAAGTCCTTGGAGGAGATGCTAAGGAGGGAAAATTTAGCTTTTGAAAAAAAATCTATTAGAAGCACACTGCAGATTAAGGAGCGTGCCAGCCCATTATGGTCACAGGAGGCTGATGAGAGTCCTTAAAGGAAAGGGAGAAGTGGACCTCTGTTGCTTTTACATGCTCAGCATTAATCCCCCCTTGAACATCTCAGTTTTCCTTCAGGGCATCACCCTTCCCCTACTTCTCAGCTGCATGGTTTCAGCAAGACTGACTCTGCAGTAATTTCAGGGCTGGGAAAATGAGCAAGACATGGCCATGGTGACTAATTCAGGGATGGCAGATCTGTCCAGAGTCGTAGTTAGTCACTCTAGCAAGTTGAGAGCAAAAAGTGATTTAGTAAAGCTCTTGGATGGACCAGAGTGAGATTCCCAACCTCAGCACTGTTCCAGCAAAGCCTAACTGCTGCTTCCACTGGATCAGAACCCAGAGTAAAAGCTGTTGATGTTGGGGAGCAAACATCAAAGTCTCAGCAGTTGTTTGCCCTAAATCAGATGCCTTCACTGGTCACTGAAAAATGGATCTTCCATGCTGCCTGCTTCCTCGCGTGTCTCTTTTCCAAATTGAAGCCACATGTGGGTCTTATTGGCAGAGTCTATGTCACATGACTGTATCTTGGCTGCAAGGGAGGCCTGGACAGACAGTGTCTGGCTGTTCCCTTGGATAGGTAAGCATCCCACTGCCCCCTAAATAGGAAGGGTATTTGAGAATGCTAAGTTGCCGAAAACCATGATGAATGTCCACAGAAAATAAGCACAAACTCCAAGCTGAGCTGACAAGAGCCAATCCTGGCATCTGGCTGCCATCCCTAGAAAAGTAGAATTCTCTTTCCTCTGGGGTTATTTGTTTTTTTTTTTTTTTTTGAGACGGAGTCTCGCTGTGTCTCCCAGGCTGGAGTGCAGTGGCGTGATCTCGGCTCACTGCAAGCTCCGCCTCCCGGGTTCACGCCATTCTCCCGCCTCAGCCTCCCAAGTAGCTGAGACTACAGGCGCCCGCCACCTCGCCCGGCTAGTTTTTTGTATTTTTAGTAGAGACGGGGTTTCACCATGTTAGCCAGGATAGTCTCGATCTCCTGACCTCGTGATCCACCCGCCTCGGCCTCCCAAAGTGCTGGGATTACAGGCTTGAGCCACCGCGCCCGGCTCCTCTGGGGTTATTTGTATGGTTAGAATATAAACCTGGATTTTCTGGTGGACATCTTGGCCATGACATAAGAATCTGCCTAGGAATTAGATCAACACAGAAGAAAACAGAGTGTAGAGATAGAGAAAGAAACGATCCTGATGAAATTATTTAAGTTCCCTGTTGCAGCTGTCCTCAAAGTTAGAAACACCTGGACTTTTTTTCAGTGCCATGAACTAATAAACTCATTTTTCTCTTCTTACGCTGTCTTTAGTTGGCTTTCTGTTACTTGCCGCCAAGAGTCTTGACTAAAGGCTTTATGTGCCTTTGGCTAGTTCCATAGCTCCATTCCACTATGACCGGGTTGGCAGAGGCTACTCCAGCTCTAAGTGGCAGGAGAATTCCCTGTGTGATGTCTTTCATAACGCAACACTTACAGGGAAAAGTCTAAGACCCATAGCCTGGTCACCATGGTAGGCCCTGGAAGATCTGGACCCAACAGCTGCCCTAGTTCACCTAGTAGTAGAAGAACCTACCCTAGCTCTTTGACTACTACTAGTACTAGTTCTATTAGCTAATTCTACTAGTACAACAGTACTAGCAATAGTAGTAGTAGAACTAGTACTAACAGTAGTTGAAGACCTAGGATAGGTTCTCTTACTCCAACCAACCCAACACCACCAAACTGCTGGTGGCTGTTGAACATATTGCTTCATGCTTTCCTGACTATACTAATGCTGATCCCTGGGCCTAGAATGCCCTTCACCAGTCATCCCATCACTCTCTCACCTCCTCACATACATGTATTCTTCTCTGTTTGGAAAATTTTGATTCAACTCTCAAACCAAAACTTGGATCGCACCTCCTCCCCTTTCATGACAACGTAGACACATGCGAGGATCACACAACTTAAAAGTGACAGCAAAGGAGCCTCAAGAGCAAACTGTGGGGAGGGTCTAAGACTATGTAAGGAGCAAGTCCTAGCAATAGCAAAAGTGCATTTCAGTCCCACATTTAAAATGCTTTTGTTTCAAAATTTAATAGGAAGCACTATGTAGTAGAAGTTAACTTTATTTTTTTTCTACTGGCAAGAATAAATAAAAAGAGATTATACCTTTTTTTTTTTTTTTTTTTTGAGACAGGGTCTCCCTCTGTTGCCCATGCTGAAGTGCAGTCTTGGCTCACTGCGACCTCTGCCTCTTGGGTTCAAGCAATTCTTAGTGCCTCAGCCTCTTGAGTAGCTGGGACTACAGGCATGCGTCACCATGCCCAGCTAGGTTTTGTATTTTTAGTAGAGACAGGATTTCACCATGCTGGCCAGGCTGGTCTCAAACTCCTGGCCTCAAGTTATCTGCCCGCCTCAGCCTTCCCAAGTGCTGGGATTACAAGCATGAGTCACTGCACCTGGTCAGAATAGATCTACGTTCTAATGATTTGGGGAAAAAAAAAAAGTGCTGGGTGCAGTGGCTCATGCCTGTAATCCCAGCTCTTTGGGAGGCCGAGACAGGCAGATCACCTGAGGTCAGGAGTTCAAGACCAGCCTGACCAACATGGAGAAACCAAAGATAACAAAGATACAAAAATTAGCTGAGTGTGGTGGCACATGCCTGTAATCCCAGCTACTCAGGAGGCTGAGGCAGGAGAATCGCTTGAACCCGGGAAGGGGAGGTTGCAGTGGGCTGAGATTACACCACTGCACTTCACCCTGGGCTACAAGAGTGAAACTGTGTCTCAAACAAACAAAAAGCCTCTGGAAAGCAAAGACGACCTATAAATTTGCCTTGACAGTACAACTGTGTCTCAAAAAAAAAAAAAACAAAAAAAAGCAAGCATCACTCACCTTTAACGTACTGGTCCCATTGTTTTCTGTAGTCTAAGTCCATATAGACGTCTGCCAGTAGAGTTGGTGAGCAGTCCTCCAGAACACCAAAGACTTTATATTCATAAAGTCCAGTCTTCTATAAAAACAGAACAGGTAGAAATGTCTATTGGTTCCCAAGTTGAGAGAAAGCTGGATTCCACATCATATGAAAAGCAGCTGATGATGGAGTTCATGCCACACCAAACACTGACCTCCTCTGTGGTCTTGGTGACACAATGGTAAAAAAGCAGGTGCAGGCCCTACTCTCAGGGATCTTAAATTCAGGTAGGCAGCAGTGCTAGAGATAGCTATGAGTGCCATCCAGGTAATTTAAATAGGGTAAGAAGAGTTGTGTGATAAATGGTGCCTTGCAAGGGCAGGGATGGGGAGGACATCTATGTAATCAGGTGATCAGGAAAGGCCTCTATGAGAGTTAACATTTATCAGAGCATCTTGTTCCAAATGCTAGAAGAAGCCAGCCATAGGAAGATAGGAAAAGCCCGTTCCTGGTAGAAGGAAGGTCCTCAGATTGATGGGTTGGCATCTTTAAAGAACCTGGGGTCTGGAGAACTCTGGATAAAAGAGAGAGTGGCAGAAGCTGAGTTTACAGAGGTTGTCAGGGCTGGACCCCAAGGACTTTGGAAACCAGGGTAAGAGGTAAAGATTTTATTCTCATTGCTATGGAAAACTAATGGATGGCTTTAAACAGAGGGATGACCAGATTTGATTCAGAATTCAGTTTAAGAATGACCCAATCAAATTAATTTTTTAAAGGTGATTCTTGCTGCTTGGTAGAAAATAGATCATAAGAGAACAAGGAGATGGGTGAGAAGACCAGTGCAATAGTTCAGATAAGAGATGATGGTGATTTGAACAAGGAGGTAACAACAGTGATGGCAAGGAGTCAGTGATTTAAGGATACATTTTGGAGGTAAAGTAAAAAGGAATTGTTGATAGATCCTGGGGAAAGGGAAAGCAAAGAATCGAGGATAACTTTTATAACCCAAGTTGGGCAGATGGGAATGCCATCTTCTAAGATAGAAAAAACTTAGAGAAGAGGTGATTGGTGGGCTTTGGGCATAATTAAGAGTTCTCTTTTGAACAAGTTGAGGTTAAGACGTTTATTAAGCATCCAAGTAAGGGTGTCACATAGGCAGCTACAGTTCTCGGGAGAGGTTAAATTTAAATAGCCATGTGGCATAGTGAAACCCAACACATTGTTTTATCAATTCCAAGACAGAATCTTTCAACAACTGCTTCTTTTTGATTCTGCATAAAAGACTGAAAATGAAAAACAAAAGAAATCTGCTTCAAATCATGTAAGTTCCTTTTATTTGGAAAAAGGCCTTTCTAGATTCCAAATGGTAAGAGAGTTCCTTGTTTTCTTGGTAAGCCATGTGCTTGTCCATGAGGGTCCTGGCCTAGAGTTGCCCCAGCACACATTTCACTCTCTGTACGGTGGCAACTTAAAATTCCTGACCCTCAGCTCTGCCTAAAGGCTCTATTATTAAAATTAAAGCAATGACTGTTAGATTAATTTCAACAAAAAGGCAAATAAACAAATGAACAAACATGAACTTTTGGATGAACTCTCGCGTCCATGTGCTAAGGTCGTGTTACTGGTTAATCGTGCACGAATGAAGCCCTCTCCTTAAACACTGTGCCATGGGCTAAGGGGAAGTCAAGGAATAAACATGCTGAATCTTTCTAGAGATCCTGAAGCTTTAAGGGTCATCCGGTGGTATAACCTAGGGATAAATACATCTCGGTTTAGGAATCTTAGATGTATGTGAAAGTACCTGGCAAAAAATGAACGTAAAATTGAAATGGAATCCATAAGAATCTTCCAGCTCTAAAACCATGTGATTTTATACCAAGAATTTCCAACCAGCAAATATCAAACTAGTCTATCTGAACCCCTTATGTGTCATGCCATGGATGCCCCAGTTAGAAGGGCAGACCTCAGGGTCCAATGAGAAATGTCAGGAAGATAAACATCTTACCTCTCTTGCCCTCTCCCCTCACACACACACAAGAGAACTTAGTAAGGATTTATATATACCCACACATTTACACTTATACACACTTGTTTTCATCAATAGGCTTTAGAAGGGAGACAACCAGCAATTATTCAAGAATATTGAGGCCTTGTTTTCTACACATTCTAAGCAAAAATAATTCTTATGTGTTAAGATAATGACCTCCTCAACCTTTAAATAAGTTAGCATTGGATATCTGCATAAATTAAGACACACTGTTCCCTTAAACTGGTTCCCTTCTTCTCCTAAATGTAGTTACAACCCTTAGTGACTTCCATCCTGTTATATGGCACAGAAAAAAAGAACAGAAAGTTCTCGAGGAAGAGAAAAATAGAACAACCATGATTTGCGTGAATACAGAAGAATGAACTATTGTGACAACTTCCTTTAAACATTCCCTTTGAGGCAGGACTGAGCAATGCCAGAGCTCCAGAGGAACCAAATGGTCAATAACACGGCAACACCTTTCCTACTTCATTAATACAATGTTCAAGTGCTGGACAGCCTGGTCCGCATTCTCCAATCAAAGCATTTTCTCACCCATTATGTCTTTTTAAAAAGGATCTCAGTAACCACACTCATTTTTACTTCATATTTTAAAAAATAGAGTTTTTTACAATTAAAAAGATTATAAAAATGACAAAAAGAATTTTTAAAAAGTGACATGTAACCCCATAATCCAAAAATATCTACTGATAATATTTGACATATTTCCTTTAAGTAAATAAATATATCTGTAAGTTATCAAATGGGAATCATATGGTATAAA